TTATTATATATATATATATATATATATATATATATATAATTGTTCTTTTTATGACTTTGAGGCTTCAAATTTTACGCATTGGATTTAGGTTCATCTTGGGAAAGAAAGGTCGATGATGTTTACAGGCCTCAGTGTAGGTGTCCCTTTAATTACCAGGAAGATTGATTATTTGTCGTAGTAAGAGGACCCCTTCCCCCCAAAAAAATAAAAATAAAAATAAAACTAAAATAAAAATGTATAAGGATTATTAAACTCATCCAACTTGGTTATAATACGCAAAGATATAAATACACTCACAGAGCTTTAGATAAAGGTTTTAATAAATCCCATATTCCGACAATTGACCCCTAAGTAAACATTGAACATCCGTGAAAAATGCGCATGAATTCAGAACGATTTCATAACAGCGGTCTTGTGCCGTTTGGGCAGGTCCAAGGTTACATGCCAGGGCATATCCCGGCATACAGTAACAAGCATGATCACTACTTCTCCGCCGAGCGCAACTTCGATCACGGCATCTTTTGCGGCTTTAAGTACCAATGTGTGGAGTTCGCGCGACGCGCTTTGTATCTACGCAAGGGCCTCGTGCTTCCCAATATCGGAACGGCTTCTGAAATCCCGAATCTCACCCATGTGAACGACGCGCGGACCGCCCAGGTCGTTCCGCTGAATTTCATCCCGAATGGATCGCCTGAGAAGCCCGTCGTCGACTCCCTTTTCGTAACGCCCACGACGAAGAGCAACCCTTTTGGCCATGTCGGCGTCATTGTCGAAGTGGGAGACGACTACGTTGGCATCGCCGATCAGAACTGCGTTTTTTACAAATGGGAAGGCCCTTACGCTTACAAGCTGAAGCTCACACACGAGAATGGTCTGTGGACGATCTATGATGATATCGGCGTGCTTGACTTCGATTTCCCTGCTGGATGGGTAACCTTCCCTGGTGTGGAGAATCTTCCAGAAGGCTCAGACCCGGTACCAGTTCACGAGAGCCTGCGTTTTTCCGAATCTCTAATTCTCTCCATGCAGCGCGTTACCATAAGCGCCAACTTCAAGAAGCTTGATTGGCTTGATATGAACAACCCGGCGGAGAAGCTTTTTGTGGAGGAGTACGGCACGGACGTAACGCGATCCCGTTTGGGCGAGACGAAGGTGAGCTACTACGAGATGAACTCTGAAATGTACCTCCGTTGTGTGGCCTACGCTACTCAGGTTCATGCAATCTTTTTGGAGGCTACTGCCAAGGTTATCGCGGACGATGAAAAGCTCCGTTTGTTTCATATCCCTGAGGAGTTCTGGCCTCGCTTGCGCTACTCGTGGGAACATTATCCTGAATGCATCACTGGTCGCTTTGATTTTGCGTTTAACAGCAAGACCCAACAGCTCAAGTGCTTTGAATACAACGCGGATAGCTCCTCGACGCTTTTGGAGTGTGGTCGAATTCAAAAGAAGTGGAAGGAGGTGGCGGGGGTGGATTTATCCAACTCCCGGAGCGCCGGCCATTGGACGGATCGCAACCTGCAGATCGCTTGGCAGGAGTCGGGGGTCAAAGGCCGCGTTCACTTCTGTGTCGATGACGATCGCGAGGAGATGTACACGGCCCTATACTGTATGGAGACTGCCAAGGCCGTTGGGTTGGAGGGCAAGCTCTGCGTTATGTTTGATGAATTCCACTTTGACGAGGAGGGTCGCATCGTCGATAGCGACGGGGTTGCCGTGAGGAACATATGGAAGACCTGGATGTGGGAGAGCGCGATCTCGGATTACTACCAAGCCAAGAAGGAGCGTGGGGAGGACTGGAAGCCGCAACCAAAGGACAAGGTCCGCTTGTGCGATCTTCTTTTCGGCAGCGACTGGACGATTCGGGTGTTCGAGCCGATGTGGAAGCTCATTCCGAGTAACAAGGCCATCTTGCCGCTGGTTTATCAGCTGCATCCGGAGCACCCGGCGATTCTTCGCGCGGAGTACACACTAAGCGACGAGCTACGGCTCTCCGGGTATGCGAGAAAACCGATTGTCGGCCGCGTCGGCCGCAACGTCACCCTGACCACCACGGATGGTCGTATCAAAGCAACCTCGGAGGGAAATTTTGGGGAGCGGAATATGATCTACCAGGAGCTGTTTAACATCCCCGAGCAGGATGGGTACTACCCGATCCTTGGGATCTGGGTGATCGGGGATATGCAGGGTGGTATTGGAGTGAGGGAGGATAAGAGCTTTATCACGGGCCTTAATAGCCCGTTCGCGGCGGTTTGCGTGAATTACAGCCTTCCAAGTGTCTCTGACGAAGTCGCCCGTTCATCGGTGGTCGCGGAGGATGATTAGAGGCCCTATCTACATTAACTTCGCTCACTTCGTTGCTATTAGAAGGCATCCTCTAATGATAAATTGGAGGCCTTTTTTTTTGAATGGCTTTGTTGCGCTTTTAAACTTATTGTATTTTGGTCGCATTGGGTGGCCCACCCTATATACCTTCACTTTATTCGTCCTTTTTTTTTTCCAAAAAGTCTGTATGTGGACCATATATTATGAAACATAAAAGTGGATTGTATGCTACGTTTCCGTATTAATTCTCATTACTCTCTCCTTTGCCTCACTCTTCCTTAGGGTTGCCAGGTCTTTCTGACCATGGTTTCGACTTGAAAAGGATGAGAGACGGGGAAGGGTGGTAGTAAGAAAAGTAATTTGAAGGAATGTAGGATGGAAGTAAAGATTTAACCATAAATTGCACTAAGGATACAAACTGTAAATGATTTAGCTTACATTTAAAGATTAGTTCTTTACAGTTTTAATTGCGTTTTTCCTATATTACTTAATGCAAATATCACTTTGCGCCTCAATTTTGACCCCGCATGACCTGAAAAAAATAACATTTGTTGTGCAAATAGACAAGTCAATGGGGTATCTGTAAGAGGGAAGAGTAAGGTGCATATAGAAGAGCGTGGCGAGTATGAGAGAATATTACAAGAAGAGGAGTACTATCACCGTATTTATATCTGATCACTTTCCCTTTCGTCTTTAAGGTATACCATACCTTTTATTCACTATTTTACCTGATCATACAAGGCATATTTCAAGTCTCAAGCTATTTGTTCGTGTGTGTTTTTCTAACAGATAACTTAGCTCAACTATTATTTACATAACTTTTATTATTGTTGCATGGGATTTCCCATCTAACAACACTTATATTCTATTATTGATAAGAGTTTCATTGATAGTGGAGCTAGCTTAAAATTCTAGGCTAAAATGTTGTCTTCAGGAGTCTACGTTGCTTCAGGAATTAAATGATTGTAACATTTTTGTATTTTTGCTAGAAATTTGACATAACTATTCAGCAACTAATATTTTCACTAATTTTATTATTTATTAAATGTATCTCATTGATAGAACAACTATGCAAACAGTGGAGTTCTTGGCTTTATTGCTACAATGCATGCGAAAGAACCATACCGACACGAAGCGGCCAAACACTTCTGTCGAGCATAATTTGTTTCTCCCAAGCTTCTCTTTATTTATGCTTTCTTTATTTAGTTACAGCACATATGCATTTATTGGTTAGTATCATTTCTTTGACACTAAGTATGTATCATACAATAAACGGATGAATTGACATTTTCCCTTAAACTGTACCGCATTGATGCTATTTATCACTCCGACAACAATGCAACCACCACCATCTTGTGTGTAGTCTTTCCACGCGTGGTGTCTTTGAGAGCTATTGACACGTACTATTAGCTAACAAACTGAGAAAGCTAGCAAACGAATGGGTTGTTCAGGACTTGCAATGGTTCCTCTGGTTGAGTAGGTGGTACCTTTTCATAACCTATTGAAGAACTTCATTCTTTATTTTCACCCCTTGAATCGATTTCAGGCTCACTGCGAAGGTAATACTACCCTCTTTATTGAAGCATGCTCAGGAAGCAGTGCTGATAAGCGTCCCGGTGGGAGGTCCATGGCGGGATTGAATGATTAACTAATGGATGTGGAGTCTCTTTTCGAGCTTTGGGCTAGTTCGCACTGCGTATGGGAGAGAATCGATTGTCAAGGCTGTTGAAGCAGCTTTGAAGGAGTGGGAAGCAGAAACGTCGGCTGCATCATCGTGATATGCTTCCAGAAGGAGTCCTACAGAGTTGCTTTTGTGTAAAACTTGCTCCTCTGAGCTCATCGAGCGCGCGATTTGATGGCTTAGAAAGCGCAAACATAGGCAATGGGGGCTCTGAAGGAGACGATACTTGCACGAGTGCGCGTTCTGAATCAGGATCGTGCTTCGTAATCATCACTTTTCTAATTGAATTCTTCGTGTGCAGGAGGTGAATATGGAAGTAAGATTTTGAGCCCAGTCAAGCAATATTTTTTTTTTGGCTATGAACGGATGGACGGTAGATGAGGGGGTTGCCGGCTGGGGTATCGATTCGTGAAATATGCGTTTTTTATCATCGGTATTGGCTGAGCTGCTACCGATCTAAGCAAGTTGCGTGATGCTATCTATTGGAAGGAATGTGCTTTGCTGGGGTTTCTAGCAAGCAGCCATGTACGCTACGCAGAAGATGGAGTGGGAATGATGATGTGAAATGCGATTAGAGGTTTAATGATATCGCAGCGACTAACGGTACGCGATGTTACAGGGCAACTTTGCAAATGATTTTATCCTAATTAACCTGTCATCATGAATAATCGTGTGATATTGAAGCAAAAGGGTTAGGAATTGCGGACATCACTCCTGGGTATATTAAACCATACAATGTCAGCGAGAGCTGGACACGTACGATATTTTATCTATTGTAGTGTAACTGTCTATTCTCAGAGCGAATCTACATGCAATGGAGCAACTTTCAGGACATCAAGGCATGGAGAGTACAAAACTAGAGCATCAGCTGGGTAGCACTATCAATATAAAGCCAAAGGAGAAAAATTCTCATCGGCCATCGTGTTCCAGTGCTTTACACATAAAATCGAGGCGCTAGTAAAGTGCTCTGGTCCTTTACAGAGCAACATGGTGCATGAGATATCGAAGCAGAAAGAAAGACTCAGAAATAACACGAGAAGAGTTGATAACTCAAAAAAAAAAGCACTGCAAGTAATCGACGTTGGCTACAGATTCATTCCTTTAGGCATGACTCACGAGTTTCATTGATTTGTAAAAAGCTTTTAGGAAGTTTATCTGGTGAAGTATAGACCTTTGAATGCATCACTTGATTCTGCACTTCTGCATTCTTTCACACAGGGTCTATGCGCTAGTGATTGAATGAGCGCGTTTCGCTTCTTATGCAATTTTTTGATGTCTATTTGTACACATAGTCAGTTTTTTAATTTTGTTCCAGAAGCGGTTCACAGTTTAAGGGTGCTGATAACCTAAACCGCATGTCAACGTGGTGCGTAACTTCACTTTGCACTATCCGTTTTACTTGGAGCTGATTATTTTCTCACATGATAACCTATTTTTTGGTTGATTTTCTTCTCTCAAGTTATGCAGATCATTTTTTGTTCTGCATGGTTGTACTTTGTTTGACAAATATCATCCTTCGAGTGGTTTCAGTCAAAATGTTGGGAGTTTTGTAGCAGATACAAAATACGCATAAAAATGGAATGAACATCGACAAAGTAAGTATACAATCGATTTAATTATGAATTCTGCTCATGCACAACGTATTTTTCTCTTTTTTTAAAATGATACTAAACGAACTACGCTGGATAGAAAAAGAAAAAAGGACCCAATACACCAACAAGTAGTCCCCCACTTTTCCCATAAAAATAACAAAAAAAGGAAAAATGCCTCCAGCAACTACCTCATTTCAGCGTCAAAAGCAGCTGTACACCGATGAGGAGGAGAAGCTTGCGGAGATCGTTTCCGACGACTCCTTCACTCGGGTGTTCCAGTCTTGGTTAGATACCATGATCTCGCAGCTTGACTACCAATACGAAAACTGCGAACGACAGCTATCCGAGCTTCAGCAGTCCACTAGCGTTCCTGCGGGGTCGTTCTGGTGCAGCAAGACGATCATGCAACACTGCAATCTACTTCTTTCGGAAAAGCGACTGGTAAAGAAGAAGTTGGGCGATCTACCCGACAACACGGTCAAGGGGATAGGAAAGGATGAGAAGGATCACGGGGAAGTCGAAGGAGAGCAGGCGAAGCTGCCGGATCTTGTTCGCTTAGCCTCATGCCTTCAGCAGATAAAGTCAAGTCATTTCGTAACCCAGAAGCAAAAGCTCTTCTTGGAGCAGTTTGAGGAGCGACTCAAGACGGTGCAGTTCGAGCCACTTGACTTGATCTTTATCTTGAATGCTTTGGAGACGAAGCTCAAGACCGAGGACACCACACGTGCCGTGTTTGAAGACCTAACTGCGCTCCAAAATAGCATCGAGGATTTGCTTCCAAGCGCCGAGCGTTGCGAGCAGCTGCTTGAGGCGAGTATTGTGAATGGGGAGATGGCCCTGGCGGAAGACATATCGAAGCGGCAGCTTGATACTTATGAGCATATTCTTCATCTTACCACTGATCAGTACCCTATTATCTCGAAACATCATCTAGATTCTTGCGAAGGCAATCGAAAGCGTCGATGGGCGATATTCCGTATGGCCGATAGAGACATCACTACGGTAATTGAGAATAAGGAACGTGCTATTGAAACTTGTCAGGAGGATTTTGCCAAAATTAAGGAGCAATTAGGGAACTACAGCAATGACGACGTCCAGCAACGCAAGCGATATGAGCTGGACCGTGCGGAGTCCGACGCCTTCTTACAGCAAAACAAGGAGAAACAACAGGGCGTATGGAATCGCATATTTGGGTTGTTTGAAGAGCTCAAAACATGCCAGGGCGAGCTCGTCACACTGGCGCAGCAACGCAAGAAAGAGGTTCAGCGGCGTTTAGAAGCGGAGGAGCGTGAAGCCGGGCGTCGGAGCGGGCATGAGTCCTTTCTTCACGCCGCCGAAGTCCACTCGAAGCTCCTTCAGGATACCATCGACAACGCGTCCGCGGCTAGAGACCTCGTGGAGGCCCTCAACAACTTCGTGCTCGACGGCTGCGATAGTATCACCGCCCGATACGATCAGCAGCAGCAGGTCCTCCATGAACTCCTCCACGACGTCCATCACCACCATTTCGAACGCTTCACGGCTTATTACATCGCGGCGAATCGCTACTTATACCGGAAAGAGCGTTCCTTGGCGAAGTTGAAGGACGAGATCACCCGAAACGAGCAACAACGCGAGCTCAAGTGTGAGGTGCTCGACCCCGCCGCGAAGTTATTCGCGGAGGCGAACGTGCAGCTCACGCGAACGTACCACGACGTCGCGCAGGAGGTACTCCAGCTGCGGGATCGCATCGATCGCGCCGAGCGGGCCCTCGCTCCAACGCTGAAGGCCTTTGAACTCGCGGGGGTCGTCTACACTCATCCGTCCGTGTTGGTCGAAGAGATGAACCTCAGCCGGTGGTCAAAGATCACCGATTATCGCGCGATCCTCCGCGTGAGTCGCTCCCCGCGTGAGCGGCGGGTGGAGGAGTTCCGTCAAGAATGCCGTTCGCTGCGGGGGCTGATCGGGGCGATGGAGGGCGCCGGGGCACTCACGCGCGATGCGGATGGCACATGGCGGTCGAGAACGCGTCGAGGGCCTTTTCAGCTTCCCCCTGCCGCGGAGGCCGCCGCGGCCGCGCGGGAAGGCCCCTCCAAGCGAGAAGAAGAAGGGGAAAGAGAAAAGACGCTCCCTGCGCTCGTGGCGGCGCGACCACCCGTCTTCTCCGCTCTGACGAACACCACCCCCGCGGTGGGCTCCTCACCGAAGGAGCGCGTTTTTCTCCCACGGATGCCTCACGCTTCCTCGGTAGGCTGCTCGGTCAACTCCACGACGTCGGATTCATCCTCTTCAAAGGGGACTTCTCACAACCCCAAGGCGGAGTTCCATCGCCGGGTGGAGGGTGGGGTGTTTCGTGCTCTCCACACGTACCGCTCCCGCGCGCCGGATGAGCTGAACTTTGAAAAAGGGGACTCCATCATCTGCATTGGGCAAACGCCGGAGGAGGGGTGGTTCAAGGGGATCTGCAACCAACGGACGGGGATATTCCCTATCAACTATGTGGAGCTCGAAGTCCCTCACTGAAAGGAGACCAAGGAGGGAAAAGGAAGCTCGGCGGGTTTTGAGGTGTTAGGGTAGCCGATATCCTTTTTGATCCCGTTCATTTTCTTTTTTTGTGTATGTGTGTTTTTTGATCTTCTGCTCTCTAGGAGTGACCCACAGTGCCCGTGGTGACGGTGGTGATAATGATGTTTGTACTGTTTGTTACGTGAAAGCTTGATGGGGTACATTCCTACTTCTCTCTTTCCCTATTATCACCTTTCTGTTTGGTTGTTTTCTTTGAGTTTTTATCGACGAAAATGTTCAAAATCTGCTAGAAGAGTATTTTTCATATTTTATTCTTATATTCACCTCCCGTTCTGGATGAATAGTCATGCGCCTAGCTTCACAGAATGTAAAAGTATGGATATGTATTTAAAATGGATGAAAGTTTATGTACACATTTTTGTTTGCTTGGTGCGCTTTTCGCATGACATCATGTGCGATTTGTATTCTACTGAATATTGGACGGTATTTGTACCTTTTCCCCTTTGTTTAAATATTTTGTTGGTCTGTTGAACTCTTGAGTATTTTTCTTTCTATTTTTTGTCTTGAAATTTCTACATATTTAACGTCTTTATAGGAACTAGGCCAATAGAGCAAGCACACAACACATATTTTCATTTGTTATTTTTTTCCCTTTTGAGAGGTGTGGGTGTGGAAAGAAGGAAATACTTTATCATTCAAGTAATTTGCTTCTGAAGGGTCATTTACAAAGAATAATTAATTTGTAGTCACAGCAAAGCTCAATTAGAAACGATTGTACTATTTTCATTTTATCTTCTTTTTTAACTATCGCTATACGTATTTTTATGCTAATAAGCTAGACTCACAAGGGAAGAAGATCCACTAGCCACCTCAGGTGTAAGCAAGAGCCACTTCTGTATTTCTATATCCGAATCATTTTTCTGGTTGTATTTTTCATCTTTAAGATTTGGAGAGAATACAAGGCGAGATATATTTGTGTTTGAGACATCTTTTAAAGAGTCATTTTTTTTCCATTATAAGCATCTTATTTTCGTTACTAGCGCCAAATTTCAATATTAGCCTGGTGCAAAGTACAAAAACTTGAAAAAATTGTTTTGAAGGGAAGTGTCAGGGTGTGTGTGTGCGATTCCCACTACCGTGTTTTTTTTCAAGTTTTTGGTGACGACAGAAAACTTTTTGAACCAAAATCGACCTAGCTCAAGTCTTAAGGAGCTCTTGTATAATCTCTTATCACAAGAAAAACGATAACGGACATTTTATTTTGTTACTTTGACTTAGCTTAAGATTTCTGGGCTACACTAATTTTTTTTTTGTACAGAATATTTGATAGAGGAAGTAGGGAAGTTTGATAAATGGGAAATACTATAGTAACAGGATCTCCAGACTTCAGTCTCGACGACATCCATGCGATATGGAAAGGACAGCAGCAGCAGCCCGCAGCCCAACCTAAGGGCCTCTTTTCGGTGCCGCCGGAGGTGGAGGAGAGGTTCCGCGGCATCACGCACAACCTTAAGGCGTTTCGATTTTGTTGCCCTCCCACGCTACCGTGTCACAAAGAGCGGGATTGGGATGCGGACTCTGCTTTTCTGGAACCCCTGCCAGGTCTTGCGGCCTCCGCGGACGTCCGGCACAAAAAGTATTCCTCGCTATACGACAAGGCCTTACCCCATTTGGTGGTGGAGCCGCTGGACCTGGGAAGTTCCAACGTGCGTCTGCTCCACACGGATACGTGTCTGTTGATCAACGTGTGTCGAGCCCTCCCGAGCGGTGAGACCGGGAGGAAAGGAGGGGAGGGGCTGCCCGGGGAGGGCGGCACCACGCCCGTTTCATCGCATTCCTCGGTGGATGATCCCCTTCCCGCGGGTCGGAGTGCGGACCCCCGTCAGGGGGTGGCGGCCGCGGTGGCGTCCGGGGTAGGGGCGTCGTGTTCGGAGGGCTGGGCGCGGGGGATGGTGCAGCTTTTTACCCCCCGCGGTCTCGCGTCGTCTGTTTGTAACAATTTGGCAGGCCCGACGGCGCCGTCGGCGTGCGGGGAGGGGCCGCGCGCCGCCCCCTCCCTCTCCACACCGGGCTTCACGTACAGCCTCCACGTCTTGAAAGGGACCAAAGCCTGCCCACTAGGGCCCTGTGCGGCCGTTCTACAGGCCTTGATGCTAGAGGAATACTTTTCCTTAGATATATGCGCTGGCCAGCAGTTACTTCAGACGCTTTTTTTCAACTTTGGTCGAGATCTGCTGCGGCGTAAGACGGTGCATCGAGGAGGCGACCACAACGTCCGGGGAGGTTACTCTCAATCTTCGATTCGCAACGCTAAACCGCGAAGGATTGCTGAGGAGCTCATAGATTGGAAGCCGTCAGTTTTTGGTGGCCTCAGCACGCTAAGCAGCGATCGCACAAGGGATTTGATGAATTCAAAGGAGGTATGCGAGCGGAATGCCTTACTCCACGCTCTCCATATTGTGCGAGGGTCGTACGGCTACGACCCCACTCTCAGAGACCGTTATCTGCGAGGCGCACCGATGGCATCTGTAAACATTTCTTGCACATCATTGCCCACCATTGTCGCGTCGGGGCCAGGCCGGAAGGTTCATCTAGTAGCCCCGAAGCGTACACTAAATCGCCCACAAGGGCCACCACCACTCGAGATACCGCGGTTGACGCTTGATAAGATTCGAACTATTGATACAGTGCACACTGCCAAAGCACCCTCATCTGAGAATCCGACTGGGGTTCCATCTGGTGTCGTTTCCCATTCAGATCCTGTAACGCAGTCCGCATCCCCTTCTTTATCGGCGCGAAAAGACAATGAAAAAGGCAGGGTTCGGCATGTGGATTCCTTCCAGAACAATGAGTCGTCAGATTCCGCGAGGACGCCACAGGCGCCGCGTTATATCCGACCTCTTCAGATAACAACCTCCATACCCACTGTCAAGAAGATCCGTAATCGGCGTCGTTCTTTATCGTCCAAATGCGGGGGAAAGAAGCAGGCTATTGACTCCACGACGACGGAAATTCCGATCCCACTGCTCTCTTTGAAAAACAACCTTGCAACCGGTCCGAATTTCGTCGGAAAGGTGAATTGCATAGGCTCAGTGGAGGGAGGGCACTCAACAGACACGGATGATATGCAAGATCGAGCGAGACGGCTTTTTCGAGTCGCCCCTGAGGCAAGCGAAGTGCTACCATGGTTGTTTGTCGGTGGCGAGGAGCCCGCGAGGAACCGTGCCCTGCTTCTCTCTAAAGGCATTACGGCAGTTGTCAACACAGTTGCCTTTGCGATACCAAACCAGTTCACTGACGTGTTTCAATACCTTTCTCTCTGCACAAGTGACTCTCCAGACGAGCCTATTACATCTCTCTTCCCAATTGTGAATCGTTTCATTGATGAGGAGCACTTTCAGAACGACGGGAAAGTTTTTATTCACTGCCAGCAGGGAGTGTCACGGTCGTGTTCATTTGTAATTGCCTATATTATGTGGCATTACGGGATGTGCTACGACCGCGCGCATGAACTGGTGCACGCAAAGCGAGGCGTCTGCAGCCCGAATGCGGGATTTTACGTGAAGCTACGACTGTGGGAGCGGCATTTAGTGCGACCCGTGTTAAATAGGGCATATGTTTATGCCCCATACACCAAGTGCTTCCCACTTCCTTTTGTATTTCACTTCGCACTTGATTGTAATCCCCTGTCGATATCAACGACTGGTAAGGATGCTCAAAATGAGATGTCTCCTGATTTTGGAACTCGTCCTAACATCGAAGAGGAGAACAAAGTATTAGGCGGTTTCGCTCAGATTGTTAGCAAGGAAAATCCTCGTGCTGTGCTCGATACAAGACTTTCTTACGGCTTTATATTTGGCCAGTACGACACATATGCAGACGGTAAATTTCCTGCGTCGCTTGAGACTTTTTTTCAAATTGGGAGCGAATGCCATGACACTGTAGCGGAGCACGCACGGGATGAGTGGCTTTCCTTTCTTCGATATAATTATTACACCTCAAAGGAGTCGCTTAGTTTGAATAACCGGGGTGAATACGTCCGTTTTTCTCCGATTCCAGGCTTGTCTACTAATGCCACGAGCAGCGGCACCCCCAACACAAACCATGGGGCCACCAATGTCAAGGCACTCGAGCTTAGTGTGCCCATCGTTAAGGATCTCTCAATACTCGAAAATCGATTGAAGAAGTCGATACTCGACGATAATAAGACACAGGATGGGCGCCAGCTCTCTGTTCAGCTTCGTTGCGAGAAGGATCCTCGCTGGGATGCGCTACTTAATCAGCCTGGTTTAATTTTTGAATTCGCCTCAGACTTGGGCAGATGCGCTCGGTTGCGGGTCGCAGCGGATAGTCGCAAGCGCATCCGTGAGGAGGAGCTTCACCAATATCGCAGCTCCGGGGGCCGTTTTAGCACTAATGTCTTTGTAGCAGAAAGGAATACAAGCCCCGCAAATCAGGTGGAGAGTGGTGAACAGGACCCTTCGCGCCCTCTCTTGGATTCCACCACTGATATTAACACCAGCGGAGGTTCTAATGCGTTCTCTTCTTCCTCACAGAAAAGCTGTGGCGGCGATCCACCTGTACGTCGGAGAGCGGTTGCCGGGGAGGTGGTGGTCCCCACCTTGCACCCCGTGGAGGCAAAGGATACCACAGGGGCGGGAGTCACCGTAGGGAAGGAAGAGGATCAGGCCCAGCAGTTTGATATCGCCTTTGTGCGTTACCCTTTCGACACGCCACCCGTCTTTACTGTCCTTCCCGCGCTGGAGGACTTGCAGGAAGACGAATGCTGGGCAATCGCCGTTGCCGGTAACTCGCTGCTTCGCCCCAATGCGATATACCTTTGGCTTGGAGGCGACTGCGGGTACCCTCCGGAGGCTGCGTTGGAGCTGTTTAAGAGTCACTTGGTGGTAAAACCGAGGGCTGCCCTCGCAGAGGAGGTGAGGTGCCGCGAGACGGATGAGGAAAGGTACACTATTCGTATCGGGGAGTATGTTATGGAGGATGTAGTCGTGCGGATAGTGCATCAAGGGGAGGAGCCTGACGAATTGATTCTTTTCCTATAACACTTATCCTTGCTCAGGTTAGGATGCGTTTTTAGGAGCATGTGGACAGATCTCCCATAGGATAGAATTTCTTGACATCATGCCGTTTGTTTTGTGCATGTTTATCCCGCTTCTTGGTTGCAAACCCTTGAAGGCGTACTATAGATGTCTTTTTTCCCTTTCCTGACACTATTAGTTTGGAAGTTGTTGCTAGAGGTAGACTATATATACTCCTCCCTTTTGCCGAAATCAAGACAATAGAAGCTCTCAACTTCTGTAAGGTATTTGAAGGGGGAGACCTTTTTGGGCAATGTATTTCACTACCAAAACGATGGGGAGGGGAGGACGTAGGAATTGGCTTTATTTTCATATGTGATGATTAAATACCTCAGGCATTAAATTTGATTTCCCATGGCTGTATTACTACTGTTATTATTTGAAATCAGTGATGCCATATTGCTACCCTCAAATCTGAAAACACGCCGGCAAGACTGTTGAAAGGAGCAGCATAGAAAACATAGTGAAAAAAAATTCGACATAGACGATGCTCAGAATTACAGGTCTGCGCTTTAGACGTTGTGGTGCTGGGATCATTGGGCTTCCTAACGTCGGAAAGTCTACTTTGTTTAATGCCCTCACATGCGCCCAGCTCGCCAAGACCGGGAACTTCCCTTTCTGCACTATCGACGCGAACATATCAAAAGTTCCAGTACCAGACAAACGTCTGCGTGCATTAGCCTCCTTCACGGGCGCAAAGACTCTGATCGATGTAGAGGTGGATTTGGTGGATGTGGCCGGGCTAATCGAAGGAGCCTCGAGAGGCATCGGGATTGGCAATAAGTTTCTTGCGGATATTCGTCTCTGCTCAGTTCTATTGCACATGGTGCGATGCTTTGAAAGCGCGCGGGACGGCTTCGGCACACCAACGCCTTTGGAGGATATTAACGTTGTCGTCAATGAGCTGCTCCTGTCAGACTTGGAGTTGATCGAGAAAAGAATGCACAAAGCGGGGAAAGTGGGAAAAAGCTCTGAGGTAGCTTTTATGCGCCGTGTAGCAGCCACACTCGAGGCTGGAATTCCCGCTAGCGATCTTCGCGGCCCACTGTCCTCCTCTCTCGCGGGCTCAGTGACACCTCGAAAAGTTACAAAACTAACACCTGAAGAGGAAGGGTGGTTGGATAGTTATCAGCTCTTGTCCGACAAACCCATGGTTTTTATTTTGAATGTCGAGGAGTCAGTTGTAAAGGAGGGTAACGCCTTTTCCAAGGCTGTTGAGGTTGCCTACGGAGCGGATCGAACATTTCGTGTATCCGCCTCCGTCGAGGAGCAACTGTCACAAATTCAGTCACATGACGATCGCCTTCTTTTTCTGGAAGAGTATGGCATCCATACACCGTGCAGTGAGCTACTTATAAAGCGGGCATACGACCTCCTCCGTTTGCAGTCTTTCTTCACGGTGGGGCCAGTTATGGCTCACGGTTGGACTGTTACTCAGGGTTCAAGCGCGCGCGAGGCGGCGGGTGAAATTCACTCTGATCTTGAGAATTATTTCATTTCTGCCAAAGTAATGCAATGGGATGAGTTCATTGCGAAGCCAAATTTGGAGTCCGCAGAGATGCAGATGCAGAAAGTTAATGCGACCTACAAGATGCGCGATGGAGACGTCATGATCGTGCAACACAGTGCCGTGAAGTAGCGCTTATAAAGTAGATTTGCACAGAGTCAGCAGAGTTATATTCGATCCATGTGTGCCTCTTCACTCCTCTAAATGAAAAGTCAGCTAAATGTTTGCATTTTCCTTATATTGATATTCACCAAGTAATTCTTCTCTTATTATGGCAATCTCTATATGAAATTCAGCTGATATTAGGAGCAACTGAAGAAAATCACTCCGAAACGGAATAATACTTGTCTTTTATCCTTTTCACTTTTTTTTAGTTCAAAACCAAATCTTTTAGGATCAGATATATAGTACTATTCCAAGGCGTAAAGTAAGTCAACACGATTACCAGAACCTCACCAACAAGCTATAAGGTTGTAATAATAATCGTCCATCAGCGCAGCTTGGTGTTTCTTGAAGGTAATCAACATAAAAGGTGAATAGATCGCTGTGCGCTTGGCCAGGTTCTTTTGTTCTCACATTAAGTCGACGCGCGCTTGTTTGGTAGGGAGTTTTTAGGGAAGGAAAAGAAGCCATCATATTCAAACTACATAAGGCTTCCTGGGAGCCCTTTGAAATCCGCGTGTGTGTGATTATCCCTATCTTTATATCTTTTTATTCCTCGTGGTTTTCGCCTCTACCGGATGTTCTCCCGCCACGACCAGTTTGTCCTACACTCAGGCTCGGCGAAGAAAGACGTGGAGATGACAACCCCCTTCTCGCCCGATCTTCCCCGGCCGATCAGCGTGCGGGATCTGGCGTACGAGGACCTCTCAAGTGGGGTGCGGCCGGTGCGGCGCGGCGACCCGGTGCCCCTTCGGAGCCGAACGCAGCCCGCGACCGGACGCCCCTCCCGCGCTGTTCCACCCACGTCGAACCCGGCGGAGCGGCTTTGGGGGGGTCGCAACCTCCCCCGCATATCCGCCCCGACGGCCGGAGAGGTTTACAGTGCCACGAGCCGACTCGCGGAGACCCCGTGGACGCCGCGTCGGAGCCAGGGGGAGCCTCCACTAGCCGATTCTGCATCGCTCACGGCTCGCGGCCTGGACGATATGGATGAGGGGGAGCTGTATAACTTAGCCTCGCGCCTGCAGGACGAAGCCCGACACGCGCGTGGGCACATCGCACGGGCCTACGAACTGCGGGATCAATACATAGAAGAGGTGGCACGGCTCAAGCAAGAGCTACATAGCAAGTATCTACAAACCACCGAGCTGGAGCGGAATAGGAGAGATTATTTGGACACCATTCAGTCTCTCCGTGAAGATATTCAAAAACTGCGGCGTGAGCTAGATGTCTCAGAGGAGAGAGAGCAGGCTATGCGGCTGCGTCTTGCCGCCGGGGCGTCAGTGCCCTTCCCCACGATAGCTGCTGGTTCCGATGTGTCGGAAAGTTCGGCACAGCATGCTTTCGTGGTCAAATATTATCAAACTGAGATCACTACAAAGAATAAGCAGATACAGCAAATGAAGGAGCACATAGAGATGCTGGAGAAACAGTTACAAAAAGAGCAGCACATTCAAACACCGGAGAGTGTGTTTATCCCATCGAAAAGCCCCAGCAGAAGTGCTGCCAATGCGCACTCCGAGACTTATACTATCGGAACTGGCAACATTTCATCCCGAGAGCTAGCCTTAGGGGATCGCCCCGTGCAAGAGTTGAGCACAGGGCCGGATCTGGATCAACTGCTTCAACAGATTGCACAACTGGAGGGGGCTAACGCGAAGCTAGTACAGGAGCTTGAGGAATCTGTGCAGCGGCAAAGCACGATCCAGCTTGAAAGCGAGCGCACCCAATCAGAACTTAAGATGGCCTCGCAAACTCGCATTGTTGAACTTGAAACGGAAGTTATGCAACTCAGGGAGCTCAATAACTCGTTGCAGCGGGAGGTGGACACACTCGCACCTGCATTAGCAAACCAGGCCCCACTCACACGCGGGGCGTATGAAACCTTTCAAGAAGAGCATGAAAGCCTTAAGATGCGGTTTAGTGAGCTCGAAATTGAATATCATTCCTTGGAGTGTGAAGCTCGTGTTTTGGCGGCGACAGCGCTGGAGACCGACATGCTGCGTGAGAGTTTAACAAAGCTTCGTCTTGAGCATAGGGACACAACCGAGCAACTCAAACTCAAGAACGAAAAATTGGTAGAGCTCATTGCTACCTTTGAGGAAGAAACAAACCTTTCTCGGACAGCTAATGATTTACGCAAGGCTCAGGTCGAAAGCTTACACAAGCAAATAGAGGACTTAACCAGCGAGCTAAGAACGCTACGAAACCACAGCACACACGAGCAGGTGGAAATGAGAGTTGCTGAAGAGGGTAAAGTGCAGAAAACAGATGAACTTGAGACTAAATTAGCCATGTTGGAAGATCAACGTATCAATGCAGAAAAAATGTTACAGAAAGCGCATATGCAGATTCAAGATGAACGAAAACGTTGTGAAGATCTTGAAAAAGAAGTACTGGATAGAACAACACAGCTCGAGAACCTCTC